GGGACAGCCACACAAAAAAAACTCAATCAACCGAGACATGTCTCCAAATTCCCTCAAATAGGGGAAATTGTGATAGTAGAACAAGAACTGCTACCTAGAGGCAACTGGCTCTATGGGCAAGATAAGATCTGCCAAACTCAGCATGCCCAACCATACAGAACTGCACAGGCCTCTCAACAAATATATCCTCTTGAAATTCGATCGTATGACGAAGCAGTAGAGGAAGGCCCAGAAGCAGAACCGGCCGCCACACAATCTAGACTGGAAGAATTGGTTGATAAGGTAGAAGGCCCCGCAGAACCAACTGATCCGCCAATAGCTCCTCGGAGAACCAAGAAAGGGCATCGAAAACTCGAGCCTACGAGGTGATACGAGACTTCGAAAGAGATCTTGATGACCGGTCCACCCAATCAAGTACGTACTGTTCAAAGTGGACAACGCTTGCAATCCTACTGTGCGTAATAAGCAGCGTCGGCTAATAACAACCTTATATGTACCGACGGATCAGCGATCGTCAATATCCAAAATGCAAGTTTTGAACTCTGCTTCAACAATGAATGCAGAACCTTCATAAACATGGCGAGGAAACTAGTCCTTGAAGTGCCAGCTTCTCCACTTCATAAGCTCGCTACGGTGTCAACTAGAATCCTAAAAACCAACGCCACCGAAACCGTAGAATGTCCTCCCATAGCATTCTGCGAACATGCGAGCAAACTCATGACGAGCTCTCTAATAGGCAACCCACACTGTTGGCCTATTGGGGCAATAGCTACCATTGCTATAATAATATACATCCTTGGAACTACCATATTAATAAGCGCAAGGATCATAAAGCAGCTGGTAGCCAGTCACCACAACAATATAGGCACTGCTCAAGAAATCGTTGTCATGAACTCCTTCAATCCAAGACCGCTGAGCGTCTCCACAAGAGTGACAACAATGGTGGTTCTACTTGCCATATTTAGCAGCTCACAAGCCTGTCAACACGGGTACATGAGACACACTGTAGATCTGATCTGCAACAATAAAGGGAACTGCTCTTACGAGTATAATCAAGAAGTTCTCTTCAACCACATCCAATCGGAACTCTGTATCAACGCCAGATACGAAAACAGAACATTGGAATGATAAAAATCCGACAAAAACCACTCAAATTGGTGTGCTCGAAAACACTCCTATTCTTCACACGAGACACGAAGCACAAAATCTTCCACAAAACAAGATGTGCAGAGGCAGGATCCTGTACTCAGAACAGGTGTAATACCTTGAAACCTCACGAAAACGTAGAGGAACTACAGGTAGCCAACAAATATCCGGGATACTCTGCTTGCGAGCATACTTGCGGTGGACTATTATGTGGATGCTTTCTGCCTGTACAAGCATGTTCATTCATCAGGGTCGCCCAAATACCGATATCGAAATCAGTGTATGAGGTCGTCAGTTGCAAAGACTGGACACCCTTAATCGAATTCGAAGTAGAATTCAAAGTCCATAATATGGAACAACACAGGGAATTCACTCTCATGCCTTACGTCACACAATCGCATGAAGAGATAGCTCTCACAGTGATATCAATTCAGAGACCAACTGCATCCCTATTCGATCAGCGCTTTGCAGTCTCACAGGAAGAAGCTCTAGTAATTCCTAACAACTTTGAACTACCAGTGCGCTGCCCCACGGTGAACATAGCAGCAAAAAACTTTGCCAACTGCAGTAACCAGATGGTATGTAACTGCAATAGCTACAAAACGCACAATCTTGTCATTGTCCACAACAAGCAATAAGGGACATTAGAGCAGAGATAGAAAATCGGCTGCCGATATACACTCCATCTCTAGGTCTGAGCTATGACAATATGCAGATTTGCGCTCACCTCCACGAGATGCTGAGGGTAACAGCTTGCCCATAAAATCAACAGCCTAATCAATCGCCGCAGATAGCTGGCGGAATTCGCTCATAGAAACTACAATGTTCCCGTCGAGCTCACCACCGCTGAAAGGCGTTGCTTTACAGCTGCAAGAAGGAAGCTGAAACTCACAGCCATACTGCCACTCACAGACAAAAACAAAACCACTTAAAATCCACCCCGTCACAATCCCAGATGCCGAAAACATGCATTGTACGCGGTCGGCGTGCGATCCCTCAATAGAACATCACAAAATCCGCCACTACAGATTCGATAACCAATCTTCCAATCGGCCGCAAAATGCTTTGCTGATATGCTGCATAATGAAGCGAAACCTATCCTGTGGAACTGACCGGGCACCGAAAGATCCAGTTTAACACTACTCCAGGTAAGACCGATCATTCTCCGCGAGGCAATCTATGTTCAAGAAGCGGAACACCCCTGCACCTTCCGCCAGACAATGGCCATCCATCAAAAGGTTTCTGGGATCCCTCCAGACTGGAACCTAATTAATAAATGCGTAGATGACCAGAGCAAGTCGGAGCTAAACACTTGCCAGCACGTACTGTGAGATCAATAACGCATTGCCCGCTAGAGAATACAGGCTTGTACGATGTTTGTTGCGAGCGAACTCCACTATATGGCTGTGATAATTGCAAAAATAGTGAACTCAATCCTCCAATTTTTAATGAGGCTGATAAAGGATAATACCAAAAGAATCAAAAAATGGTAAAAAAGAATTATGATGCGACCAGAACCAGCTCACAAGGCCTGGTTTACGTTCTGATAAATCAAAGCTGTAGCATACAACGTTCCCAGCCATGGCCGCGTAGACAATCTTATCAAATAGCCTCGCTACAGGAAGAACGCGTATATAATCAAAGGCTATCAATTCACGGACCCATTCATGACCAATATGGCCGAACTCCACACTGCTCTAGCTGAAATGGAGCAAGTCCAGCTCCTATCGCCTCTCGTCACAATTCTCCGCACTATTGACGACAAAATCGAGTCGCTATTCAATATCGTGGCAAGCTCAAGCGGCCGTCTAGATGGCCTTGAGGGAGCACTTCGACTGTTACTCGAACGCACGGCTCCTAAGCACCACTGTATATCTTGCTGCCAATATGGAAAATGTGGAACCCCACACATCTGGACGCTGCCCCCTGTTTACGGACTCTATGTCCAGGGCTATGCAAGCATCAAAACTGGGGCTGTGTACCAGATGTTTGAAGGCTGCACATAAGAATTACTGTGGGGTATCTTGCCAGGACTGCAAGATGCCCCACAATTTTATTCTTTGCCCGGCAAAAGCAAGATTCAATATCCCAGCGAAAAGGAGGAAGAACTAACTCGTCGTCGATGGTCAGCGTCGTTCATGGATACAATAGATATGTTATCGTATGTTAGAAATTGAATTTTGTTGAATTATTTGCCGGAAGTTAGTATCACACTTCAGCCTAGCTAGCTTCCATTTCAAAAGTTGTTGTACGTAATAGTTCGAATTTTGTTGTCCTATGCATTCTGATGGTTGTATCGATTTAAACAGTACTTCATACTTTCTATGTTTAACCATTCATATCTCAGTTCAATGTGAAGGGGGGCGCGGAGTGTCTCGCTCCGCGCGACCTCTTAGATACCATTATTTACTAGGGAGTCGCTACCTCTTTGATAGTATTATATGTGAGGGTCGCTTAACCCCCTTGATAGCATTATTTACTAGGCACTCGTTTAGACTCTCCTGGTTACGCTTGAACTCTATTCTTTGTGACTTGTATTTGCTCCCCGTATCAGCTCTTGGTCCCTATAAAAGGGGGGTGCCCGCTGATACGGGGCGCATTCGCCAGGAGTCGGTTCGAATAAACCTTAACAGAACCAGCTCTTTCTAGCACAAACAAAAGAAGCCCCTTATCGGGACAGAAGATAAGAAAACGTGGCAGCGGAGTGCAACGGTAGTGATCGGGCGTGGTAAGAATGATGTCACGGGATCAGTTCTGATGTGTTCATAGTTTTTTTTACATTTTCTAGGGATATGGCCAACAAAGCTTTGATTATTCCTGATCCGTTCTCACCTAAAGAAGATCTGCTATCAGCTTTTCAACAGTGTAGTGTAGACCACTTGAGGACTCCAATGGTGCTTGCTTGTCTCCCCAGTAACACATGTTACACGGGGTTTCGCACTTGAAGGCAGCCTCCGCGCTCAAGTAGTACATGGTCGTCCTTCCTTGGGCAGGTAGTTCAGCCCCCAAGCTAGATACTATCTCACTCTCGCGACTCCTCAGCGAGCGAGAAGCGAGCTAGAACCGCTCAAAGTTCTAGTTCTAACGCCTGCTCAGTTGGACCGCCTCACTAGCTAGCTGCCCTCTGACGGAGAGCCGCTCAGTTGTTCCTTGTTGGGACGGCAGTCATTAATCGGAACTGCATGTATTTTTTGCTGACCGCGCTCGTGCTCGTAAATAATTCTGCTCTCCTTCATCACATTTTATTCATTGGGAGCACGTACAGTCAACAGCAACCCATCTCGTAAGGTAAAACGCGTAAAAATCACGAATGATGCAATTTCTGTGGTGCAAAAGCTCGACGCACTTCACTACACTAAAACATGCTCGCTACCGTAACCCTAAGTTCGGACGCCGGCTTTTTAACACGTTCGCGGCGGCGCCGTTTCGTCAAAAACTCCCGTTTGTCGAACGACGCGTTCGCGGCGGGCGACACTTAGGCAGTCATCCCGTTCATGGTTGCGCGCTCGCGACGGAACCATAAACGCCTAAAAATTCACGAAAGCCGTTTTTCGCCATTCTTTTTACATTTTCCCCTTCTACAAGTTTTATCTAAGTTTCGGTAAATGAACTAGCTTTCTTGCCCTTTTTGATGTTCAGTAGTACCGCACAAAGAGAATATAGACTTTGATTCTTGTGGAAGTTCTTAGTTCCCCTTGTAAGGACCACTACTGCCTCACCTGGTTTCCAAAAAAATACAAGAGGTCGTGACAATGAAAATGGTATGAAGACACCTTTAGCTTAACCGAGAGCACCGTCCAGCAGCCATAATTTCGTTTTCGGTTTCGCCTTTTTTTTGCTTCATTCTCACAAAATTCAATGCTTCTCTTTTCGTTCTTCTGTGAGAAGCAAAGTATCGTGCCCACTGCTTTTTGAGATG